CACCCGGACTTGGTCAAATGCTCCCAAGGAAATGACCACCCCGTCTTGGTTACTGGTGAAGCCCGGAATCTGCAAATGGCCCCCACCCCGGATGGAGAACTTGACGTGGAAAAAGCGGCACAGCGCCAACGCAGCTGCAACTTGTTGGGCAGATCCGGGACGGACGATTACCCGAGGTTGAAGCCAGCAATTGGTAGACCTGACCGGATTGTGGTGGTTGGTAAAGACATTCTTCTGGTGGTCGTTCCAAAAGTATAGACGTACCAGGGAACTATACGCTGCGGCTCATAGCCATTGGACCCGTGCACGACGGCAGCTGCGCCAAAGAACAGGGGGAAGACGGTGGCAACGTAAGAGGCTCGTTCCTGGTCTTGCTCTGCAGCTGACAGGCTGTCAAATCGCGATAAGAGGGTCTCTATATGCGTGACCTTCTCCTGCTCTAGATGGCAGGCGTTGGCGACGATCTCCGAGACTACCGCAGCCATTGTGTGATCTATGCACGAGCTATAGATGCAGGTAGTTATCACAGGCCAAATTTTGAGGATGTGAAAAAAAGAAAAGAAAGGCAAGGAAGACCGAGAAGAAGGCTTCTGCCCCCAATTCCGTGATCCGGATGGTGGATATCGGCTCGGAACCGACTAGACGCTATCTGCGCCGGCGTCTTGAGCGATCCTGCGACCAGGATTCAAACCCCTGTTAATGTTTGACAAACCTCGAATTTGGAGCCAGAGAATCCCGGATCCTTGTTTCATTTGTACGTTAAGAGTATTGGCATCATCGACTTGCATTCCTTCGTGGTCCACAGCACCCCAGACAAATACTTTAGAAATGATGGCTCTCCCCGCTTCTGCTCTCTGTTCTCTATCCATCCTGATGACCACCTCTGCTTTGGTGCATGAGAGCCGGTTAGGATGGGTGGGTCTATCGAGCAACAGGACGATGTGACGACATCGTCCATGACTATCGCGGTGCGGATCATTGTGTTAGTGCTGGCGGTTCCGACAACCTTGGTGTGTGTGCTTCGAGTATGTTTCCTCAAAACTCCTGCAAGCCATATGGAGGCCACGATGACTGAGCTGTTGTAGCTGTATATGCGCAAGTTCGTTCTGAACAATTTTGGGCTTGATGACTGGTTGGTGCTGGTTGCTCTTGTGAGTTACGCAGCCGATAATCTTCCCTGCGCCAGATAACTGACTGACTAGATCGGAGTGGATCTGTTCTCTGCCTTGGCGTATATCATAACGTACTATGGATTGGGTCGGCCTTTGAAATATGTTCCTGAAGACCATCTGGTTGTCTTCCTCACGGTTCGTACCTTGAGGCCCAAAGCTTTTGACCAAACTGATCTTTGCAGCTCGAATATGCCTCACAATGCGCCTACCTAGTCATTGCAGCAACTGTGAAAACGAGCCTGCTCATATTTATAATGCGTCTGTTTCCGACTCGCTTTGTCCATATTGCCGGGAAAGCCCTTCTTGGTATCATCGCGGCCTTCACCCTTTCGGGGACCCTCGCGCTGGTCTTTCAATGTCATCCAGTCCAAGCGGCCTACGACAAGACTATCACCAATTCGAGCTGCTATCCCACTGAGACCTCGTACGCAATTCTTATGATGCAAGGGGTCATCATGTTCGTGCTAGATGTATCGATTCTAGTACTTCCGATACGGCCTATCTGGCAGTTGCAGATGCCGATAAGGAGACGAATACTTGTGCTGGGGCTACTCTGCATTGGTAAGGTTTCGAAGAATCCAAAAAGTCCAATAACTCATTATTCTGCAGGTTTTACCGCATGTGTTGCTGCCCTCGTTCGTTTCTCGACACTGAAATTTGCCAATGATACGACCAATTTCACCTGTATGGTTTCCTTCAAGTGGGCAGACGATAGATTACTGACTTCTCCCAGACTCAGCCTCCACGTCCCTCATTTGGATGGAGATTGAATTCAACCTCGGCCTAATGTCAGGGTCTCTTCCTTCTCTGCGAAAACTTCTCAAGCTTGGTCCTCAATCTCCCACGAGCCGCTCAACGAAGACACAGCAAAGTTATGCATCGAACTTCGAGTTGCACCGCCACAGTTGGACTATAAGTGGAATCACAAAGAAGACGGAGATTCAGAGAGCCTATGAGAGAAGTGAGAGCCAGGAGTTCATTGCCCCAATATATGGGCAGGGAGAACTGACCACAACTTCCAAAGCGTATGCGGATGGGGAGACAAGCTCTGCCAGTAATGTATGATGCCCAGATCGTGATGTGTGTCTCGATGGCGCCAATGGAGCCACCCAATTACAGAGAAGACCCAAGCGGTTTCGTGCATTCAATTTGTAAAGGTTCCATCCTATTACTGCCTCCGTCAGTGCCGAGCCGGTCGGTGTATGAGGGTCAAGCCGACGTAATTCCCGTATGTCCCGGATTGGTCTCCGATACGCGGACATTAAAGCTTAGTACTATTACTGTATACCGGCCCAGCTGCTGGCAGAGGCAAGGGCAAAGACAAAGTCTTGCCAAATTGTTCCCTACAGTATTGATATTGCTTGACTGGATCTTGTCCAAACGGGTTAATCGGGGTATAAGACTGTAACGGATTTCCTTCAAGGCGGAAGCCTGTTCCAGTTCTAGTTGGGTAGCATTGACACATATAAGTTGTTATTGTACAGTAAAATAAGAGGATTTTTCCACAAATCCATCTGTCTAAAAGAACTTGAGGAGTCTGTCACGATGTTGTACAAGGTTCTCGTGTTGGCGCAGCAACTGTCCCAGCCGGTTCCGTCGCCACCCTAGTTTCTCCTCCAAGATGAGGTGTGTGTATGCGAAAACACTAGCGTCGAACAGACCCGGATTCGGTCGGTCAAAGAAGTGCAGGTTATCGCCCAGTAGCGTAGACAGTGCCTCGAATGCGTCACTAGCTTCGGCCTCCAAGGCGCCCACATCGATATAAGATGATGTTTTCAGGATCTCTGTCCGGGCAGCTTGCTGGAGCTGCAGCGCGAGAGCGGTCCGCACGGCGGAATTCGTACTAGACGGGTCCACGTATAAAGGTCGAGCAACGGCCTCAAACTCCTCGGGGTCCAGGTATAGAGTATATAGCTGCCCAGCGCCAATTAGATCAGTCAAACTCATCCATCGACCATGGATTCCGGGGGGTGGGGGGACGGCAACGCACCCAAGCATTTCGTATCCGGTGATCCAGCAACGATGCATATACCTCGAAGCGCAGATCCAACTGCTGCTCCTCTTCGCAGTGAACTTGCTCGATGGCCCATTTTTGGAGCTTGCTGGAAGGGATAGGGGCGTTGTTGTTGATGGGGTGGGCGGGGATTAGGAAAGGAAGGGCGCCAGAGGGAGATGCATGGTTGTTGGAAGGAATCACGTCGACGTCGATCCCAACGAATCTTAAGTATGCCTGGAGAGACGCAGAGGGGTATCAAGTTAGTGATGTACTTTAGACCTGGCGCAATGCTGCATTTCCTAGTACGCACCTGCCACTTGAGACACTGCGGGTTGAACGACGGTCTGCCATGCCTGGCACTTGCGGCATCGGTGAAAACATACAGTCGATTGCCACGTTTGTCGGACCATGCGCTGTGCGGGAGATCATTGGAGGGGTAGGTGACGAGGGGGAAACGGTCGAAGATGCGCTTGATTGGCGCAGGAACGGAGAAGAAGTCTCGAGCGCGCGACACCGTGCTCACATTGTCCGGTGCCTGGCCGGGGACATCACGGTGTTCGGGGGTCATTGGATGGATGGATGGAAGAGGGAGGGGATTGCGCAACGGGGCGGATCAAGAGGGGGGTGGAACTGAAATGTCAGTTTAATAAAGCTGGAGAATTGGCGACAAGACCAGCTAGAAGACCCGAGGTCGATGTAGGTTTGTTTGATGAACAGAGAGGGACAGATCCGTTTCTCGCCCAACTATTTACTTAGTTAAGTTCAGTTGATCTTGTTATTCGCCGGCTGATAATCTCCGGCCGCCAAGCCCGCACCCTTTTGTATGCCTTAGGCAGAGGCAAGGATGATGCTGCCTGAGGTTGCTAATGGGCTGCCACGCGTTGGATTTGAATTTCTTCTTATCGGCTTATCGTTAAGTTTTGCTCCGCCGTTCGGACGGCAACGGAGACCTCCACCACCTTTCTCTCTCTCTCTCTCTCGGTTTGACCACCCAACGGCATTCTCTCAGCAATACTAATTATTCAACCTCCTGCGGGGTTGTAATAATTACTTACTGCAGCATTCTTCCTTATCCCGAGCTGCAATCCCTCGGCCTTGCCGGGCTATCCTGCGTCTCTTCCCCGCCTCTGGAATCCATCCCACCGGGTAACCTTTGCGCTCGTTCGAATCCGTCGCTTGTCCAACCCGTTCCAGCCTCTCTTTGTCATTCCACTTGGGGTGCATCCTGGTCCGCCTTCGCTTCGAGGGGAACAACAACTTGTTTTCTCGGTAGACGTGCATCACAATTACCTGTCTCCAATACCCTGCTTATTTCTTTTCTTTTCTTCTCTTGTGATCAACTGAGTTCTTACGAAAGCCTGCTTGCGGCCGTGGTACGATCAGACCTACGGGCGGGGTAAGGCCATTCGCACACTTATATCTCACCTGAAAGCTCAGGCCCTCCCTTGGATTCACTATTCAGCACACTCTTGGCTGATGCTGTTCTGGGCTCGTTATCATGCCTCTCGATGAAGAAGGGGCCAAGTGGTCATGGTATGACTCTCCGCCGGTGAATAGGCTCTCTGCTAATCAGATGCGCTTCCCATAGTGAGCCATGTATCCGTGGCCATCGGTCCTCAAAATGCCAGCACTTCGACAGGATGATGATGAAGGTCCCAAAGGCCGGACGACCGCTTGCTAGATGCCCGCATCCGAAGGGAACTTGCAGCTGCCAGAAGCTATATGCGTTCATGATTCGCATTCCTAAAGGTGGGTATATGCGACGGATATGACCTATCGCCTATCCTACCGTGTCATAGTCGCGTCTTTGGTGACTGACTTTCACTGTGTCATGTAGGCTCGACTTGCTTGTGTAGACCAGTGTACCAAGTGCCTGCCGATGCGGCGGAATCTGCTTCAACCACTCCCATTTCTGCCCCTCCGATGCCGATTGCTGCTCCCAACAAAATCCAGAAACCCATTAAACGACAGATCAAGACTGCCCCAGAGAACCTTACCAAAGCCTTGAATTCCATACCAGAATTCGGAAGCCAGCAATTGGAACATGGAAATTTGGGCCGACCATCTCCTTATTCGGCTCAGGAACAGCGTTTGTGCAGTTCATATGATATCATCAAGCAAGAACCAAATCCCTCGCACAAGACATCCGAGTGCGCCAGCGAAGATAAGGCGCCGCAGGGCGGCAGCTGTTGCTCTCGCAAGTCTCAACCCTTACAGACTATAATCCCGGATGTTACAGCTCCTGCAGTCCAACGTTCCTGTTGTAGGAAGTCCGATTCGGCGGCACAAGATGTCGAGAAGGAAGACAGCACTCCCAGCGATTATCATCACTTCCAACCTCCAGCCTTCGACAGTGATAATGCAAGATACTCGCCGAACTCTATTCCCCAGGTTTCGACGTGGCAAGATTTCCAAGCAGCGAAGCAGAGCCAGTACATGCAGCCTTTCGCATTGCCCGTATCCGAGTCCGGTTATCTCCCCATGGCTGGACCTGCCGCAGGTTTTCATTCTAAACCACTAGACTTTCAGCATCCGCATGCGTTCAACAACTATGAGATCTTCAACAATCAGATTTCTCAGCCGACGTCGGAGAACACGAAGAATGCTATTGCAAGTCCAGCAAATCCTGCTGGCGAAGCTTCTCATGATTGTAGCTGTGGCGATGGTTGTCAATGTCTGGGTTGCGCGTCTCACCCCTTCAACAACACTACTAGACAGCATGTCCAACAGATGGGCCTCCTGGTGGCTTTCAACGATGATGAACAGAGCCCCGACAGGCTGAACAGCCATAGAGGCTCCCCTTTGCAGAGCCAACCCCCGGACTTCTCATCATTACAGTATTCCTTCGCCAACTTCGGTAATCCTCTGGGTAACAATTTTCACCCCGTCGCAATGCACCCATATGCCCAACAGAGTGCGGACTCGGGTCACGTAAACAATGGCTATTCATCTCCGCCCGCGGATTATCTAGGACAGCAACTGATGGTGCCGTCAGAGTACTATACTCTCGAGTACCCAGTGGGGCTACCTAGCGCTTGCTCCGATACAACTGGAAGCTGCCAGTGCGGAAGTGACTGTACCTGTGTTGGCTGTCTTACCCACAGTGGACACAACGGACTGCCACTTGAGCCCGCCATGCCCGAGGGCAACTGGGACCACATGAACCTTCCAGGTTTCTCCATGGACGCTACAGGTCACAGCACGTCACAGATGCCCGTGATGGATAACTTTGTCGCTCATTCGAACTCTATGCTGTAGTACCCCACTTTTTATTTGCATTGGGATGCAATGCGACTCCGCCATCTTTTCACCCTTATGCCCTTCCCTTGCTTTTCCTGCGATCAAGTTCTCATTCGGATGACCGATGCTTGTTCATGATACCCCTTGCTCATAGATGTTGGATGATAGAGGATACAAAAGTCTTTTCGTCCTCTCTATTGTTGTATATATTCCTCAGCCATTACCTAGGTTTGTCTAAAGTCGCAAACGCACGGACCAATCTCCTCCCCAAGCTCTACGAGCCCTTACTTCTCTATTATTTCCATTCGTTCTATACTAATTGGCAAGTTATCGCAAGAGGGTCTCCAATCTAGACCGAATGCAGTAACCTGGAGAGAACTAAGTCCACGTGTCTTATAATGTGGTCGCATGACAGGCCTAGATGCTAACGAATAGCTACTATCAAAGCAGCATTACAGATGCCTTAAAACAGTTAGAAGTGGTAGCACAACGATGAATTGAATGCTAAAGTAGGAAAAAGTCTAGAGAGACCATTTCAAACACGACGAAAGATGTTCTTGATGCAGCTCGTTTTCCTTCCCAGCTATACAGGTATCATACAGAAATGGAGGCCCGAGCTACTCTACCTACGCAGGGCATCTCTGACCGGAGAGTCGCCCCGACGGAAGGAGGCTGTAGAAAGTTAGCTTAAACAGTTTCTCTCCGGTATTGGAAGAGAAGGGGTGGAATGCAATTGCATGAACGTACAATCAGCTTCCTCCCAAGCACGTCCGGCACCGAAGCCGAGACCAACCCACGCGGGCCAAGCTCTCCGCTTGAAGAGGAGCACGGAGAAGACAACACCGAAGGAGAGACCGAGGGAAGAGCGGATGATGAGGGAGGAGATGGCGCGATCCCACTGTGCATTGAGAAGTTCCGTATTAGCCCGAGCACTACTGACTACACTTCCCGATGACATATGTGCGTCTGTCCCGCAGTTGCAATTTGCGGATGGCAAGGGCGGAGAGGTCCGGCGGCTCCATGGCAGGCCCAGCCAACAGAACATTCAACATCCAGACGGAACAAAGTGATCGATGGGAACTTCAGATGGTGGTGCAAAGTACCTTTTCGTTCAGCAGGGCCTCGCTGACGGGCTTGGTGGAGCGTGGGACCGGTGCGACCGGCTGGGATTCGTTGGAGTCGGCCATGGCGATAAGAGCTGAAAGTCCGAGAGTTAATCCAGAGAAAACTCAAATGAGGGGTCAATTGGATCGACAGGGACCTGACTGACCTTCGGCAACAGACTACAGAAGGGAGGGTTGAATGGTTGCAAGCAAAGGAATGAGAAGCAAGAAAGAGAAGGAGAGTCGATGGGCGGACAAACTGATCGGGTGCGACGTTTCGAGCTCTGCCGGGCTAAAAGGCGGTCGGAAAAACTAGGCAAAGCGCTCTCCGCTTTCTGGCGTCAGTCTTCAACTTTTTCGACTTTAAGGAATCCCTCCTTGGTCCCCGCAGACTAAAAAAAAATTAAACGTCTAGGACGAACCACTCCCCTCGGACTATGTTCGATTTGTGCTGACGCGGTGGCATCGAGGATCTTGGGGATACCGGTACTTAACGATCTGACTCGTCTCATCCGAGATGCCTTCAGTCGCGGAGGTATGTGTTGGCTCGCTATCTTTCAAGCGTTTTCGGTTGTATGCAACTTTTGAGTTGTTCGGCTAACCTGCTGGGATTGTTTCTCTCTATACAGCGCCCGCGCTCCTCACAGGAGGCTTTACTCCGCCTCGAAAAAGGCACCGCGTCTCCGACCACACAGCTTGACGAAGCCGCTCAGATCATCGGCCTGGATCTTGCCCTATGTGCGAGTCACCCTGAAATCAATCGAACCCCTCATGTTCAGAATAATGCCGCGCCGAAGGAAGAATGGGTGCTCCGATGGTTATTGAAAAAATTGCGGGCCGGCAAGAATTATCGCGTCGACTCTACCTCTTTTCTCCTACTCCGACAGTTGATCGACCTAATCCCGCCAAAGACCCTGGCTACGACTCTGAAGGACCAGAAATTCCTCGCTATTTTCAATCAAGCTATTGCCGACCTGGAGGAGGATGTATTCGCAGCGCTGAAGACGGGAACGACTGATTTACTGCCCTCCGATTCGGATTCAAGTCATACCTTGAGCGATTCTCCGCACCGCAATGGCGATTACGATAAGAAGGGAACGAAGAGAAAGAGGGCCGGCGACGATGAAGCAGACACTATGGATGTTGATGACCAGCCGCGCACGCCGATTTCGTGTTTCTTGGCTTTCATTCGCGCACTGGATTGCCTGTATAGCTTGATCATGCTGGCGAATCGGACTCTTGGGGTAGATGAGGTCGCTAGCTCCCATTTGAAGCACGCTTTGAAGGGTGAGCCAGAGCCAAATGCGGTGACGCTGCAAAAGTCTTTCCGACTGGCTGCCGTGATTTCGACGCAATTTTCCCATGCGCGCAAGACGACGGACTTACAGCACCTCCTTTACGTCTTTCCTGCGGTCTTGGAGCTGTGGGAACTGAGGTCCTCTCGCCGTGATGACTCAGATAAGGGACTAAGTAATGAGTGCTTTGCAAAACATTGTTTCCAGAGCGCACTCAGACTTCAGGTCTCTGTTCGATCGATCCGACTTGACACCGATGAAAGGGCTCACGTACTGCATGGGGTGGAGCGCTTGATCGCTCTGCATGTGGTCATTCCGACACGCGGTGGATTCTACGAGCGAGGAGGTGCAGGTATCGACTATTCAGCTAGTGAACCGGATTGGAGTCCGGTTAAACCTATCTCTGATACACTTAGACCTATCCTCTGCAAACCAGAATGCCCGGCAGAGACTGCAGATGACACCACTGTACAAAAGAAAATCATGTGGAAGACAGCAGAGTTGCTCCCGGAGTTTTTCGATATCGCGGTTCGTTCTGTGCCAAGGGACACTTTCCGGAGACAGACACACGAGGCGCCGTGGCTGGAGACTCTGTTTGTTGCTATTGCAGAGCTGGCATTCTCAATTGTAAAGTCTGAGAATACAACCACGTACCTTCCCGAGTTCGTCGGCATTTTGGAGCGTCTCTTCCGTGTGGTTCTTGTCCGTAACGTGCAGTTGTCTCTACATACGTTGCTCACCCACGCTTCCTACACCGGGCTCCTCAAGGATGGTTTGTCGCAAATCGAATGGAATCTCACATCGCTACTTGTTGAGCTCGGTGTTGATATCTTCCTCCCCAACTCTGGTCTCAGTGACTCGACAAAATTGCTGAAGGCTCTGTTGGAGAAGATCTTCTTACATTGGCGCAGCGGTACGCCCCAAAGTGACGGCAGCTATGACACCATTAAGAACGGCATTGTTATACCTCTGCTACGTGGTTTCGTGGCCGCTCGAGACTTGCCCACCTTCATGGAGTTTTGGTACGAGCAGCTCATCGAGGTTGAAGAGGCACGCTCGCAGAATAAAAACTTGGAGTCCTTTATTGTTTGGGAGGATGATGACGTGTGCAATGCCTATGGCGATGTAATGCGAAGTCCTCTCACTCACACATTTGCCGCTGCGCAACTCAAGGCAGCTGCGGTGGAAATTAGGAGCGAGGATGGGAAGATTGCCGACGCGCCCGGAGCCTACGCTCAGTTTGTGATCCTAGAGTCTGGCTTCAGATACCGTGATTTGAGCTTCGCGGACAAGAACGAATCTCTTAGCTCTGTCATCCAGACCGCGACATCAACATTGTCGTCGAAGCAAAAGCTGCATTGGCGATGGCGGCTGTGGCGACTCGCTCGAAACCTCTTAGAGAATAATGTCCAATCCACTGACAATGATCTCGGAGTTGCGATCATGAATCTGGTCGATACAGGTGCAGCGACCATTCGGCGTCACCATAAGGACCGGCTGCAGAAACCTTGGGCACCGTTGGAATGTTTCGAGGCGTATCAATTCACCCTTGCCGCCGTCAAGGGGTCTTTGAACAATGATCAGTTCAAATCACTTACCAGCCAAATAACAGAGCTAGTCAAGTCAATCTCCGACAAAGATGCTTCGGATGCAATTGTATCACCCTGGAACGGGCGTATCGAGACTCTGAATAGGCCGGATACTCTTGCCCTGGCGTATTTCCTGACACTTGTCAGGAGTCCGGATGTCTGGGATCGGGTTGAGCCTGAAACTAGACGCGCCTTGTTTGGCCATATTCTCTCTTTGGCAACATCTCAGTACAAGTCTTCACCATCGGCTTTGGAGACTGTTAGCCCTGAACTCAGATACCTTCAGGCCTGGGCTGGCGTTGTCTGCCATGAGTATTTGCTCAACGCTCCGGCCATCGCGTCTGATCTTATCTCCGTGCTCTCGAGCCGGGTCAAGGAGGACATCACGAACCGTAAACTCTATGTTGAGAGCTTGCAGAGGATTCCTGCCCCACTTGTCGTGCGCCGGCAGAGAGCGATTTTGCTGGATCTCTTGCAGGAGGTTATTGTCCAGGAAGACAGCACGCCCGAAGTCACTGTTGGAATGCTGTCATTGATGGCCAAGCTGGCTGATATGCCTAAATCTGCCGCTGCCGTCACCAGCAATTGGGAGCCGGTCTGGACGATTGCGAAGGCTGTCACCCTGCAGGGAAGCGAGGTTGATCTTCAAATCATGAAGGCCTTCCGCAATCTGCACAGAGCCGTCATAGCTAAGCTGCTTGTTCTGTCCGACGAAGAGCGTCACAAGCTTTTCAAGAAGATGTACCGCAAGGTCTCATCTAAGGCATCGAAATTACAGACTCTTGACCGTGACTCCATGGACTGCTTCTATCTTAGGATCTCTCTGTCTCAGCTGTGGCACCACCGTAAGCAGCTGGTAAATGTCTTCGAAGAGACGGATCTTGCTGCTTGCCGCCAGAAGGTTTTCGACCTGGTGGTTGTGGAAGTTAAGTCTGTCAAGGATCAGTGCAAGAAACAGCAGCTGGAAGAGACGATCACCCTGATCAAGATTATTGATGCGCTGGAAGATTTTGAGGATCTTGCCACGGATCATGCCGAGGTCGAAAAATTTTTGTCAAAGATCGAAAGCTACGTGGAGAAGTCGGTTGATTCGGGCTCCTCGCTGAGAAGACTCATAAGACGTCGAGTCCTGGCCGGTCGCGGCTCTGAAAAGAGTATTACACAACCTGTGATCCAATGTGCCGAGGCCCTCCCGCTGCAGCACATGTACAGCGAGGAACAGCGGCTCTTCATCCGGTCCACCTCTGGAAGGTTTCAGTCCATGTCCGTGGAAGAGCTGACTCGAGTCATCCAAGACGTGCGGGAGTTAGGCTTTGTTGGCGAGAATGCGGAGTACCATCTGCTCATTGCCGGGTTGGCCATTGCCTCGTTGCCCCCAATTGAGGACAAAGAAAGCCACACGGCCCAAGAACTATCGTTGGTTTGCACCGCAGTGACCGAATCTCTGCCCCGCAACAAATCCATCGAGCAGTTTACACTTGCGACCGAATGCCTCGACATTCTCCTCCGCAATTACACTCGCTGTATCACGCAATGGAACGTCGATAATATCTTGGGAACTATTGCTGTGTGCGCTTCTAAGTCAGGACCTTGCATCGACCCCGAATACGCGGGAACTGTCTATATCCGCCTGTGTCGCCTGATGGGTATCCTCCTGGGTCTCCACCGTCAGAAGCTTGGAGGCCGATTCCACCTCATTCTGCCTGTTGTCGAACGACTGCTGGACTGTTTGTTCGCTCGTTCCAAGAAGCGCAGTCGATCCATGCTCCATGAAAAGAAATTCGGTCAACAACCATACTGGCTTGCTCCTTTGCAAGCGTCGCACGCAGTTCACTTCACGCGTCTCCTCACGTCATTGTGCGACCCAACCGTCTCCGCAGTCTCGAGACCGACACAGTCCGCAGGTGGTTATGAAGGGTTGACCGATCAGACCAAGAAAGCCAAGCGAATTGCAGGACAGTACCTCCAGTACCTGATAATGGAGTATACGCAGAGTTCCCTGCGCGGCACACTCGCACCCGAAGTGAAGGCCGCCATTGTCCCTGGTCTCTACGCAGTCTTGGATGTAATGTCGCGCGAGACGATGCGTGCCATGAACGCAGGACTGGACGTGTCTGGCCGGGCGGTGTTCAAGGCGCTGTACGATGATTATGTGAAGTTTGGCAAGTGGAATAAGGGTTAGACGATGGCATAGACTAGG